ACAGCTCCGAGCAGTGGATCACTCGGCTCGCGGGTCGATGAAGAACGCAGCCAGCTGCGAGATTTGGTGTGAATTGCAGAACACTCAGATCACTGATTATTCGAACGCACATTGCGGCTCCCGCTCCTCTGCGGGAGCCTCGCCTGTCTGAGGGTCGCGTGACGCTTGCACAGTGGCTTCCCTCGGCGGTGTCGCAAACGGCCCCTTCGGATTCGTCCGTGGGCTCAGAGAACGATCTCTCCCGGGGATCGACCGCAAACGTACCCCCGGGAGCAAGACGAAGGGATAACTATGAAAATAAGAAGCGACCTCAGATCAGACGAGAGAACCCGCCGAACTTAAGCATATCAGTAAGCGGAGGAAAAGAAAACAACAGTGATTCCCCCAGTAGCGGCGAGCGAAAAGGGAAGAGCCCAGCGCCGAATCCCTGCGTCGAGAGGCGCAATTTGGGAAATGTGGCGTAAGGAGTGCGCGCAGGTCCGCCGCAGGGTTCGAGGTAAGTCCCCCTGACAGGGGCTTTTCCCGTGGCGGGTGCCAGGCCCGTGTCCTCGAGCCCCGTCGGCGGTGCCGGCGCCTCCGGAGAGTCGGGTTGCTCGGGAGTGCAGCCCCAAGGCGGGAGGTAGACTCCTCCCAAGGCTAAATACGACCGCGAGACCGATAGCAAACAAGTACCGTGAGGGAAAGTTGCAAAGAACTTTGAAGAGAGAGTTCAAGAGACGTGAAACTGCTCGGAGGGAAACGGGTGGGCCCTCGAAGTCCCGACCTTCCGCGGAGACTCAGTCGCTGTCGAGCGACGCACTTCTCCGCGGGATTCTAGGGAAGTCGCGGCCGGTCGCCTTCTTCTCTCCGCCTCCGGGTGAGTCCGCCGCGCACCTTATGGAGCGTCGGCGTCCCCCGGGGGCCCGATGCAGAGAGGGCGACCCGGTGCCCGCACGGGCCAGCTCCTCCCGCCGTCCGCCTCTTCCGGGCACCTGAAGCCCGTCCGTCGCCGACGCGCCTCGTCCCTCGTGGAGGGCGGTCCTTCGGGCGACTCCTCGAAGTCGGAAATGTACTCATGCGGGCGGAGGGAGTTGCGGTTCCGCGACGAGTAGGTCGGTCACCCACCCGACCCGTCTTGAAACACGGACCAAGGAGTCTTGCTCTCGTGCGAGTCTAAAGGTACACTACGAAGCCCAGAGGCGCAGCGAAAGCGTAGATCGCGATCCCTCCTCTGACTCGAGGGGGGCGCAGCGACCGCCCGTGCCCTGAAGTGGGAACGGAGCGAGAGCACGAGGGCAGGGACCCGATAGGTGGTGAACTATTCTCGGGCAGGACGAAGGCCGAGGAAACTCGGCTGGAGGTCCGAAGCGGTTCTGACGTGCAAATCGATCGTCCGACCCGAGTATAGGGGCGAAAGACCAATCGAACCACCTGGTAGCTGGTTCCCTCCGAAGTTTCCCTCAGGATAGCCGTCGCTCGTCGGCAGCAGTCTCGCCGGGTAGAGAGAATGATTAGAGCGCCTCGGGGACGCCCGTGTCACTCGACCTCTTCTCAAACTACGAACGGACGAGAAGGGAGCCTCTCCCGATTCGGAGGCCTCCCGCGTAAGGATGCAGAGTGGCGCGTGGGCCACTTTTGGTAAGCAGAACTGGCGCTGCGGGATGAACCGAACGCCGGGTTAAGGCGCCCGATGCGGGACGCTCAGAGACCCCATAAAAGGTGTCGGTTGCTCTATACAGCAGGACGGTGGCCACGGAAGTCGGCATCCGCTAAGGAGTGTGTAACAACTCACCTGCCTAAGCAACCGGTCCTGAAAATGGATGGCGCTCCAGCGTCGAGCCCATACCCGGCCCTTTCTCTAACGTCGATATTACGGAGAAAGGAGTAGGAGGGTCGCGGCGGAGAGCGTAGAAGGTCAGGGCGCGAACCCGACTGGAGCCTCCGCCGGTGCAGATCTTGGTGGTAGTAGCAAATATTCGAGTGAGAACCTCGAAGACTGAAGCACGGAGAAGGGTTCCATGTGAACAGCAGTTGAACATGGGTGAGTCGGTCCTGATTCACTTCCTAATGGAATTATTAAAAGCTTCTATTATTATTTGAGATGAGAAGTAATGGAGAATGGGAAAAGGGTTAATATTCCCTTACCCGGACACGGAGATAGGGGCACCCGTGTCCCAAGTGCGGTAACGCAAACGAACTCGGCGACGCCGTCGGAGGACCCGGAGAAGAGTTGACTTTTCTTCGTAAGAGCTCGTGTCCCTGGAATCTCGTCACGAGGAGATAGGGACGCTGTTCTCGTAAGAGCACGGTCGCTGCTGCCGTGTCCGGTGCGCCTCCGCCGGCCCTTGAAAAACCGAGGGAGAGAGTGTGATTTTCGTGCCGGTCCGTACCCATATCCGCAGCAGGTCTCCAAGGTGAACAGCCTCTAGTCTCTAGAACAATGTAGGTAAGGGAAGTCGGCAAGTTCGATCCCTAACTTCGGGAAAAGGATTGGCTCTTGTGTTTCCGTCCTCGCGGACCTCTTTTGCCGTATTTCTTGCGCTTCTGCCGTGGGGACTGACCGCCCTCTCCGAGGCGTGGTCGGACCCCTACGCGGACGGAGGGAAGAGGAAAGAGGGTGGCCTCGCTCCTTCGAGAGCCGGGGCTTGTGCCGCGGGACATCGTGGAAACGAACAAGAACTGGCACGGACTAGGGGAATCCGACTGTCTAATTAAAACAAAGCATTGCGACGGCCGGAGAACGGTGTTGACGCAATGTGATTTCTGCCCAGTGCTCTGAATGTCAAAGTGAAGAAATTCAATGAAGCGCGGGTAAACGGCGGAAGTAACTATGACTTTCTTAAGGTAGCCAAACGCCTCGTCATCTAATTAGTGACGCGCATGAATGGATTAACGAGATTCCCACTGTCCCTATCTACTATCTAGCGAAACCACAGCCAAGGGAACGGGCTTGGCAAATTCATCGGGGAAAGAAGACCCTTTCGAGCTTGACTGTAGTCTGACTCTGTGGCGAGGCATTATTGGCGTAGTCTAGGTGGGAGTCTTTTCGGCGACGGGTCTGTGAAATACCACTACTTTGATCGCCTTGTTACTGATTCGGTGATGCTCTGTGGTCCTTCCTTTTGGGATGCGACGTGTTATGTGAACTTAACCCGCGCTTCGTCGAAAGCGTCGGGGAAGAGCTCCGAAGACAGTGTCAGGCAGGCAGTTTGTCTGGGGCGGAACATCTGTCAAAAGGCAACGCAGGTGTCCCAAGGCCGGCTCGGCCGGGACGGAAACCTGGCTTAGAGCAAAGGGGCAAAAGCCGGCTCGATCTCGTTCTTCAGTAAGGAAGGGGACCTCGAAAGAGGGGCCCATCGATCCTTTCGATGCGTGGGAGTCTCACGCGAGAGGTGTCAGAAAAGTTACCGGAGGGATAACTGGCTTGTGGCGGCCAAGCGTTCATAGCGACGTCGCTTATTGATTCTTCGATGTCGGCTCTTCCTATCATTGCGAAGCAGAATTCGCAAAGCGTTGGATTGTTCACCCACTAACAGGTAACGTGAGCTGGGTTTAGACCGTCGTGAGACAGGTTAGTTTTACCCTCATGAAGACGGGTCGTCGCGACGGTAAAATCTGCCCAGTACGAGAGGAACCGTAGGTTCGGACATTTGGTACTGCGCTCGGTGGTGCCGCCGGTGGCGCGAAGCTACCATCCGCTCGGATAACGGCTGAACGCCTCTAAGTCGGAAGCCGTCCCGAGAACGGTGAGGATATCATTCCGTGCCCCTCGCGTCGAACGGCAGCTCTAGCCCCTCGATGTTCCCCCTGCGGCCCCGCCGTCGGGGAGCGCGAGCGGGCGAAAGTGGCCCCTTCGCACGCCCGAGACCTCCGGGACCCTCCGTAGACTCCGAGGGTCCTGCTCCTGCGAGCCTGCCTCCGGGCAGACGAGTGATGTGAGTGGGCGTAGAGTCGTCTGCAGACGACGTTCTTGCTGGACGGGGTGTCGTAAGTAGCAGAGCACCCACCATAGTGCGATCTACTGAGACTCATCCCTCGTCCGGAGGACTCGCTGGCTCCGCCGGCGCCCCCTGCTGTTTGGGGTAACGGTTCCCTCCGAGGGGACCTCTAAAAACACTGGAGAGTTGCTTGGAGAAGAGGAAAAAAAAAAAAAAAATCCGAGTTTGATGCGAGAGTGAAGTGGAGAGGTCCGGGACTAGGTCCACCGGAAGAGGGCGTTGTGGGCTGCGGGCCCCGGTGACGGGAGCCCTGCCGTCGGGAGAAGTGGGTGCGAGGCTCGTGTCGAAGAGCGAGTGATGAACGGGAAGAGGCGAGAAGGAGCGGTTTTGGACTTCGAAATTTTTCGAGCAGCACCGGAAGAGGGCGCCGTCTCGTGCGGGCCCTGGTGACGGGAGCCCTGCCGTCGGGAGAGGTGGATCCGAGTGGGTGCAGGGAAGTGGTGAGAGGCTCGGAGTGAATCGGTCGCTGAGGCGAGACTTGGCTCGAACAGAGCAGGAAGTGGTGAGAACGAGTGGTTTTGGACTTCGAAATTTTTCGAGGTCCACCGGAAGAGGGCGCTGTCGCATGCGGCCAAGGGGTACGGAAGCCCAGCCGGCGGGGGGAGTTTGTGCACAGTTCGTGCGAGTCTCGTAGGGAAGACGATCGAGTTGCAGTCGAAGGGTGAAGTGAAGTTGCAAGTGATGAAGAAGAGAACAGGAAGTGGAGTGGTTTTGGACTTCGAAATTTTTCGAGGTCCACCGGAAGAGGGCGCCGTCTCATGCGGGCCCTGGTGACGGGAGCCCTGCCGCCGGGGGGAGTTGGTGCAGAGTTCGCGTGAGGCTCGTAGGAAAGTCGCAAGACGATCGAGTCGCAGTCGAAGGGAAGAGCGAGTGGTGAAGACGACGGCGAGTGGTGGCGAGGACGAGAGGTTTTGGACTTCGAAATTTTTCGAGCAGCACCGGAAGAGGGCGCTGTCGCATGCGGCCGAGGGGCACGGAAGCCCTGCCGCCGGGGGAAGATTGCGTCGGAGAGACGGGTTGTCTGTTGTCGTGTGAGCTTCGTTCCGGTGTTCCATGGGACTTTGAAATGATTCCGGAGTGGGTTGGAGTGTGTCGTGATCGATGCCTCGTTCGGGTGATCTGGTGAAGTGCTCGTGAAAGGCTGTCGGCGGCCGGCCCCGTCGAGTGCTTCGAAATCGAGGTTTGACTGATACAGCCCCCTGTGCTGCGGTTGGGAGTTCTTTCCCTGGCCTGGCTTTTTTTTTTTATTTTTATTTTATATTACCATTATGAATTAAATAAATTAATAAATAAAAAGTGTTTGCTATGCTTCGTTTCCCCCCTAAAATGGGTATATTCATTTCCAGTACTACTTTCAAATTTCATGACTTTGGATTTGAAATTTTTTTTTTCTTCCTAAATGTACCGATTTAATTTCTTTTATCCAAAGTATTGTTTTATTAATATTTTTTTCTTTCTACAGTTACTATTCTTTTTTGTTTTCTGTGCTCCGAAAAATTCATGACAATATGTGTAGGCTATTTGTAAGTTTTTTTTTTTTTTTTTTTTCACCTGTGCGTATTTTTTTAATTTTCCTCCCCCAACTGGAAGGGATAATTATATATATTAATTAAAAGTAATGGCAGTAATGCAGGTCGTTTTTCTCTAAAATTTCTAATTTTTCGGAGTACCACTAAGTTAATTTTTTTTTTTTTTTTCCCAATAGTGGTATGTTAACGTTCTTTTGTAATTCTTTGCCGCACAGAACTTTTCTTTTAAAATTATTACGACTCCTTTCCTGTAATGTAATATACATTGCATTGTTGGATATACATTACATTGAGGTCGATGTGGTATATTGACAGTTGTTTTTAAAGAAAATCTATTATTTTCAATTAATTGCAAACATATTCATTAAAATTTATTTATTTTTTTTCCCTCTGTTTAATTCAATCATTGTACATTTTGAGTTGCAGGCTACCTGATGTGTTTTAAGAATCATAGTGTTTTGTAAAATGCTTTATGATATCTCTGCTAATTTTCTTTTTTCTTTTGATTTATTACAGGATATGTACCGGAGTCATCGATGCAACTTGTACAACTACTTTTTTATGTTACAAATAAAAATAAAAATGATAGCATGCTACTTTTCTCTTTTTATTCAAAAAAAAAAAAATATGTATCTGTTAAATTATTATTTACTTTGAGGCAAAATGGCAATTTGTTTAAAATTATTTATATTGCGAACATTCGTTTGAAAGAAAGGAATAAATCCCCCAACTGGTAGGGATAGATATATACATTAATTAAAAGTAATGCCAATTATGCAGGTCGTTTTTCTCAAAAATTTTTTAATTTTTCGAGTACCACTAAGTTAGTTTATTTTTTTTCCCAATAGTGGTGTGTTAATGTTCTTTTGTAATTCTTTGCCGCACAGCACTTTTCTTTTAAAATTATTAGGACTCCTTTCATGTAATGTAATGTGACAGAATACGCATTGCATTGTTGAATATACATCTTTTATTTATTTATTTTATTTTTTATTTTTTTTTTTCAATTAAAAAAAAAAAAGTAATGTTATTTTCTCACAAAAAGTGCAATAAATACATACACAGAGTTTTAGATTTTGATTCGTAACACAGATAGAACGAAATAAAACGTGTTCTGAAAATTTCAATTCGATATCTTGGAAATATTTGGAGTAGGGATGCACTTCCGGTTTTGCGAGCTCCGTTTCCGGTGGACCGACGATGCTGTAACTTTGCTTCTGAATGTCGTAAAAGTCAAAACTAGAGTGTTTTTCGAATCTTTAACGTACGGGCTATGAAATTTAATATATAAAATCGATTTCGAAAATTTTTCCCCAAAACGACGAAATTCAGGTTTACCTTCAGGGAAACTGCTGAATAAAACAGAACGGAAATAATAACGTTTCGTTTTTTCTTACCTGTTGTGTATTTCTTTTATATATATAGGGACTGTACACTGATTTAATTTTTTTTTTCCAAGGGGCATTGCCTTTCTCATATATATATATATATATATATACCGTTCCCTCCCGGTGGGATAAGAAAAAAATAAGAAGACAATGCCGAATAAAATAGCCGACAATATTCCCCCTCGAATGTACTCTGTACCGATTTAATTTTTTTTTCTTCTACTCGAAGGGTGACACATTAAATAGACGGTACTTTCGTTACAACGTCTTATATATACACGTCTTAATGAAGAGTAGTACTCTTAGAGAATAATTGCTACAAAAAAAATAAATAAAATAAAGGTTACGGTACTCACTTCATCCCCCCCGAAAAAATGCGCGCAACTTCCGGTGGGGAGTTTCCTGGTTTTTTTCCACAGCTTTCCCATTTCATCTTCGAATATACATATATATACATTTCCCCGAAGAAAGTACCTGAAAAGAATGATAGGAGAGATCAGAATTTTCGCATAAAAATTCCACGAAGGAAAACGAAAAAAAAAAAAAAAAAAAAAAAAGTAGTGATTTCTGGAAAATTAGAAACGGATTTAAAGGTCTCCGGATGCACCGGAAGGGGTCGTCGACTCTCGAAACGCAGAGGAAACCGTGCGGTCCGTCGAAGAGAGCGAAAGCGCGGCCCCCCGGGTCGCCTCCGGAGCTCCGCGCTTCCCGATCACTCCAACGTGCCGACTTGGACCCCTGCGGCCGTCCGGGAACGACGAAATCCGCACCCCGGGTGGAACAGGGTGCCCTCTTTCCGAATTTCAGGTCCGTTTCCCGATCGCGCCGCGACTTTTCCGTGCAGGGGCGCCGAGGGGTGCTTTTTTTCCGATTTCGAGACCGTCCGAAACACATTAAAATACGAGCTGGGACCTCGATTTTTTTTTCCGACACTCCGCGGGAGGTCCCCCGCGCGACCCCGGGGTCGAAAAAAATAAACTCCCGCGGGTTTGCGCCCCGGGAGAGAATTGCGAAAAAACCGGACAGGGGGCGCTGCGATCGACTCTGTGTTCCGAAAGGGCACTCGTTCGACGCGGCACCTCCGGGGCGTCCCGCACGTATTTTTCTTTTTCGCGTATTCCCGAAAGTTGTCGAGATAGGGCAGAAATGCACCTTTTCGCCGCCAGGGGAGACGCGCTCTTTTCCGAATAAAGACGGGACCGCTCGCGGGATCTTCCCGGAAATCCGGGATCCGGTCGATCCCGACGAGGGGAGCACGGATTCGAAATCGGAAGGCCGAAATTCCCGCAAGTTTCGCGGCCCCGGCCTTCCGAAGGCGACCTCGGGCCCCGGTTTCGAAAAGTAATAATTATTTTCCGCCCGGCATTTTTTTTTTTTTTTCTTCCTCCCCTCTTTTTAATGCGGAATAAAATTTATGGTATTTACATTTTCGATGGAAACTGTTTTTTTTCCCTCGTTTCGTCTATCGATGTAATAAAAAAAAAAAAAAATAAATAAAACGGTGTGATACTTAAAAATAGCAAGGGGATATCTTTGAAATTAGGAGGCCCTCAGTGAGTGGCAGGAAGCACCGGAGGGGGGGTCCTCGACCCCCCACATAGAGGGAGAACAGTCGGTCCTTTCGAAACCTGCGAAATCGGGGCGTCCGAGCTTCCGGAACACGACCACGAGAGGACTTGAGCCCCCGGATCGACGCCGCACTCATCGGGGGGATCGCACTTCCCGATACCAAAAGTTAAGGGGAAAAAAAGAAATGCGATTAGTGTGTGAAATTCTCTGTAACAATTTTTTTTTCTTTTGGTTCGTAAGGGGTTTGGCTTTTATTTATTATTATTATTATTATTATTATTTTTTTTTTCAATGAAATTCTCTTTATTGTAATGTATTTTTTCCCCCCGACTTCTCCCATTGGGTTCATTCTGATTGAGTATTTTTTTTTTTTTTTAAATTTATTCCTCATTCCCTTCGAAATATTAATACCTTAAATACAATTTTTCTTTCTTCCTCTTGATAATGTTCACTCGTAGAAAGTTACCAGGGTAGATATTGTGTTCTCACTCTTCTGTTACAAAATAGTGGAATTTTGTGTCTGAGCACTCCTTTTTTCCAACGCTTTCCAC